TTATTTCTGTTTCATCTCCAGGTTGAGACTGGCACGTTTTTGATAAACTCATTATTATACAGCTCGTTAACGTGATCCTGCAGTCTCCACAGCCCTCGCGTCAGTGCGCTGTCATGCCATCTCCTTCCTCTGAGCCCACAGAGTCAGGAGGACACTGACTGCACACGTGCAGACGCCCAGCAGGGCACCAGGGGGCACTGCAGCACAGCGGCTCGAGATGAACTCCCTGCCTGGCCGGTTGCACCCTGGCTGTAAGGGAACCCGGGGGGTGGTGGGTCAGTGTCACCTCTGGCACAGCCAGCCGAACCATCGCCGACAGCAGCACAGTGTCCTCTGGCTCCGCGTCAGGATGCTTATCGATTCAGAGGTTAAAGTCCTTCTCCACCGTCCACACAGTGGGCAAAGCTGAGCCTTGATTCACGTTCTCTGAACCTCTGAAGAGCGTTTATCCTGTTGTGGTCATTCGGTCCGCGTCCCTTGCTGTCCAGAGGACCTCGTCCAGCCTGGCTTCACTGGGTGCTCAGAGTCCACTGTCCACCTCTGGGGGAGTGTCCGCGCCGGCCTGGTGCTGCGCCTCATGGTTTCCTGTCCTCTGTGCCACTTCCTGTGTCCAGCAGCTCGTCCGGCGCGCGGGACGGCTGTGCGGCGCTGACCGCTGCCCAGGCGCTGACCGACGCCCTGCAGCTCTGCCTGGGCTCGGAGCCCCTGGAGGAGACCAGCCTGCCCCACGTGCAGGGCCTCACTCACAGGCTGGAGGTGAGGAGGCCAGCGCAGGCTGCACCTGGCTCAGCAGGGTCTGCCTCACGGTTTTAGGACAATTTCTGTAAAGAAACGTCAACTTCTCAACTTCGTATGAAACCCACAGCACTCTTTACTTTACTTGTCTTGTCCTGGATGACGTACTGGGGTGGCGCAGTGCTTAGCATTGCTCATCTTGGCTGCCTCCCAGCACTGGGGCCCTGGATTCAGTTCCTGGGGTGCTGTCTGTGTGGAGTCTGTATGTTCTCACTGGGTTCATGTGGGTTTCCTCCCACAGTGCGAAGACAGGCTGGAAGGTTAATCAGCTTCTGGGAAGATTGTCCAGGTGTGGTGTCCCCTGCCCTGTGCCTGTTGCTTGCTGGGATAGGCTCCGGCTCCCCCTTGATCCTGTCCTACATAGAGCAGTTAGAAAATGGGTGGATATCATGCTGACAATCCTGTCATTCAAGGTTCAGAGTCCTCCTGGGATCGGAGAACTCTCAGGAGAGTGTCAGAGAGACCCGCACTGGATACTCTGTTTCACACACTGCTCGGTTCTCGTTCAAAGTGTTTGTGCTGAAAGGGTTTCGTCGCTCCTGCTGAACAGTGAAGTGGCAGCTGCTGTGTAGCTCTTATGCTGCGGGGAACCGGGGCCTGAGGCAGAGAGATCTCGCACACGTCTGCTCTTTATTGTGCATCTCGTAGAACTGACAGAAAAACCCGCCAAGTCATCTAAGTGTCGGAACGCAGTAGCCGAGACATAAGCACAGCAGCATCGGAAACACAAACAGGCTCTGTGTGCCAGCACAGCAGTAGCCTTGCCCATTGCTGTCTCCTTCCTCTCTCGCTCTCTGTGCAGGCAGTGCGCAGGTCACTCCTCAGCGCTGGCGGGGTCCTGAGCTCTGTGGCCTCCTGTCCGCCGGCGGCTGGTCTCTCCGACCCTCAGAAGCTGACCGACAGGCTCCAGCGCCTCTCCTTGTACCTGAAGAGAAGGTACCCAGTCCGGGAGCACAGCAGAGGGGTTTGCAGGTGCTAGCTCAGTGATCGGAGGAGCTCGCCCTGGTCTTTCCTGAAGAAGCCAGGAGATCAGATTCGGCTCCAGCTCAGCAGGGCCTTGTGGGGGGTTGGAGTTCTGGTCACTGCTTTTTATGTGAAGCCAATGTTGTTGTGCTCTCCTCTGTGTATTTTAATTATACAGCGTTTTCTGTACTGGGTACAGGCACAGTTCCACTCTGAACGTACGGTTTGGTGTTTTTCTCTGAACTTTGAAGTATGTTTTTACAAACTCTGTACACCAGTCTTCAACGGGGTGTTTGTCCCATTTAGTATAGTTCTTGTCCGACAGTCCTGCTCCAGCAGTGCCAGGCTCTGCTGTTCTGGGTCCAGATGGGCTGGCAGTGCCCAAGTCTGACAGTCCTGCCCTAGTAGTGCCAGGCTCTGCTGTTCTGGGTCCAGATGGGCCATCAGAGCCCAGGTGTGAATGTGATGGGATGTGTGGCGGTTTGGTAGGAAGCCAGTCTGACTCTAATGCAGGACATTGTGCTCAGTAAGGAGGGCCGGTTATCAGATATTCAAGATACGCCAGAGTTCCTTCCCCAGGTTACTGTTCACACTGAAGCCCCGGTACCTGTTGGGGTCGAGTCTGTCTCCATTCTTACAGACGGGCGTGATCAGTCCTTGATTGAGGGGAAACAGCCGGCTCTCAGGATGAGGAGTTTGAGCTGGGCTTGCTGCTGTGTCTCACTGTCTTAGTGCTGAGGGCCTGGAGTCTGAGGGCTTTCTCTCCATCTGCCTCTGTGCCCACTCTCAGGCTGGAGCTGTTGAGGAAGCTGCTCCAGGCCCAGTCGAAGTTCTCGGACTCTGTGCAGGACGTCCTGCAGTGGGAGCGGAGGGGCTGTGCCCAGCTGGACCGGCTGCACTGCCGGACTGCAGAGAGCCGAGGGAGGGAGGCCATGGTGTCCATTCTGAAGCAGCTGGAGGTGCGGCACGCTCTCACGCAGACTGATGTGTGCTCTGTGTACAGTGTTCCTGTTTTAACTCTGTGATCTAATCCTTTCTAAAGTGTACTAACCCTGTACTACTGTGCTGCTCGTTAACCCTGTAGAATCTTTGCCAACTACATATTGTGTGTGCTAATCCTGTAATGTGTGTATGAACCTCATGCAGTCTTATACAGGCCCTGTGCTGTTTGTACCTGCCCTGAGCTGTGTGTACTAACCCCCTGCTGTGTCTGCTGGCCCTGCACCGTGTGTACTAACCCTGAGCTGTGTGTATTAGCCCTGTGCTGTTTGTACCTGCCCTGAGCTGTGTGCACTGGCCCTGCGCTGTGTGTATTAGTCCTAAGCTGGGTGCCCTGGTGCTGATCTATGTGTGTTATCTCTGCGCTGTGTGTATTAGCCCTGAGCTGTGTGTACTAACCCTGAGCTGTGTGTATTAGCCCTGAGCTGTGTGTACTAACCCTGAGCTGTGTGTATTAGCCCTGAGCTGTGTGTACTGGCCCTGTGCTGTGTGTACTAACCCTGAGCTGTGTGTGTTTGCCAGAGTTTCTCCTCAGAGCTGGGGCAGTACAGGAACAAGCTGGAGCTCTGCCACACCCTGCACTCCACAGCCACGAGGCTGCTGCAGGTGAGCCATGCAGCAGGCCCACACTGGGACGCCTGTGACCCTGTGAGTGCCTCTTCAAGTGTGTCCTCATCGTTGGTAACTGATTCTGTGTTGTGCTGGTCTTGGCAGAAGCTGGACTCCTCCTCGGCGAAGTTCAGGGCCTCGGTGGGCCTGCAGAGCCAGGGCCTGGAGTGTGGGGCTGTCTGGACAGAGCGCCTGCGCGGGGCCAACACCAAGCAGGTACTGAGCTCTCGGAGCAGCACACCCGCCACTGCGCCATGTGATTGGGTTACAAAGCCAGAGAGCTGTCCTGAATATTCCCTGGGAGGCCCGTCTCTCTGAGGTTCTGCCTCCCGGGACAGGTGCTGCGTCAGCCCGGCTGACGGGCGTCTCCCCTTCTGTCTCCTGCCCCTGCAGTTTGAGGAGGCCTCGGCTGACTTCCTGTCCCTGGTGCGGCTGGCCTCCCACTTCCACACGCACCTGGAGTTCCTGTGCAAGTGGGGCTGCGGGGTGGCGGTCTCCGTCAGGGCTGAGCCGCCCCCTCCCCGGCCCCAGCCCCCTCTGTCCCAGCGAGAGAGGGCCTCCCAGTTCTTCCAGTCCACGCTGTGCGGAAAGAGACGCTCCGTCTCCTCATCCTGAGCTGGATATCACGAACGAGCCACTGGATTGCAGAACAAAAGCTTGTGAAAGTGTGCTGTGTGTACTAACCCTGAGCTGTGTGTACTAACCCTGAGCTGAGTGTACTAACCCTGAGCTGTGTGTACTGGCCCTGTGCTGTGTGTACTAACCCTGAGCTGAGTGTACTAACCCTGTGCTGTGTGTACTGGCCCTGCGTTGTGTGTACTAACCCTCTGCTGTGTCTACTGGCAGAGCACTGTCTGTACTAACCCTGAGCTGTGTGTACTGGCCCTGTGCTGTGTGTACTAGCCCTGAGCTGTGTGTACTAACCCTGAGCTGTGTGTACTGGCCCTGAGCTGTGTGTACTAACCCTGAGCTGTGTGTACTAACCCTGAGCTGTGTGTACTAACCCTGAGCTGAGTGTACTGGACCTGCACTGTGTATACTAACCCTGTGCTGTGTGTACTGGCCCTGCGCTGTGTGTACTAACCCTCTGCTGTGTCTGCTGGCAGAGTGCTGTCTGTACTAACCCTGAGCATAGTGTACTGTCCCTGCGCTGTGTGTACTGGCCCTGCACTGTGTATACTAACCCTGTGCTGTGTGTACTGGCCCTGCGCTGTGTGTACTGGCCCTGAGCAGAGTACACTGGCCCTGCGCTGTGTGTACTAACTCTGCGCTAAATGTACTCATAATGTGCTGTGAGTGGAGCTGGGGGTGTATCACAGTTGCGCTGGTTTCTCGGTATGTCAGTTCATGTGTCAGTATTAGCTACAACATGTCAGTGTGTCCTGCATGCCAATAAAATTTGACTGTGAAATGAATTTGCAGCATGTGAGATTAGAATTTTATGTGGCAGTATTGTCAAAGAAAAAGCCTGTCCATTAGTAAATAAACCTAGTATTTATTGTATTAATTTATTGTATTGAGAGCTCTCTCATTTTGATAATAAAACACCCCTGTAAATCGAGGAGTATCTTAGGAACTTAAGGTTACAAACTGGTGTCGTCCATCTGGGCCTTGCGGTAGTCTGTAGCTCATTGAACCCAGGATCTCATCCAGCTGTTTCTTGAAAGAAGCCAGAGTTTCAGGTTCAGCTACATGGCTGGGCAGTTTAAATGGGGTGGAGCGGTGGCTCTGTGGCTCAGGATCTGCGCCTGTGGCTGGAAGGTTGCCGGTTCATATCCTGTGGCCGGCAGAGGAATCCTACTCCGTTGGGCCCCTGAGTAAGGCCCTTAACCCCAACTGCTCCAGGGGCGCCGTACGATGGCTGACCCTGCGCTCTGACCCCAAGCTTCTCTCCCTGTCTGTGTCCTTTGCTTGAACTTTCAAGTCATCCTTTCCAGAGCTCAGACACCAGGCAGGTGTGCGTCTCTGAAGGGGCCTGTTACATCACAGGCGCAGTGGAGACACAGTGCTGCTGGACAGTGACTGTGTGTCAGAGTCTCGGAGTCTCTGCTGGACACAGTGCTGCTGGACAGTGACTGTGTCAGAGTCTCTGCTGGACACAGTGCTGCTGGACAGTGACTGTGTGTCAGAGTCCCTGCTGGACCAGTG